CCCCAAAACCCCAAAACCCCAAAACCCCAAAACCCCGTCCTTCCTCCTCCCCATTGAATTTTATTTATATTAAAAACATGGACCAAGGCAAAAAGATCGTCCTCGTGACTGGAGCCACAGGCTACATTGGCAATTGGGTCATTGTTAAATTACTGAAGAAGGCCATCTATGAAGTCAGAGCATTCGTCAGAGAAAAAGAAGATGACCAGACTTTAGATGCGTTCATGGAAGCCCTCGACCAGAAGTGACCTGGTGAGTAGAAGAGATTAAGGAGTTAAAGCTGTTTTGGGATTTTATTGAGATTTTGTCAAAATTTTGAATTTTGGGGGTGAAGGAGTTTAGAGATGTTGCTGGATTTGGGAGAGGTTTGGATATAGGTGAAGAAAGTAGTAATGTTTTATTTAGGATATACTGATTTTAGCATTGTGAAAGGCGATATTCTGGATTATGAGTCTGTCAAGAAAGCTGTTGAAGATGTAACATATGTCATTCATCTTGCTTGTCCATCTTCTCTATCTAAACAAGATGGAATGGAGGAATATATTAATGAATGTGTTGTTGATGGAAACTTAAATATTCTTCAAGCATGAGCAGAATCTTACGTAAAGAGAGTAGTTATTACATCATCAAGTGATACAATGATAGATTTTAACAAAGGCGAAGGTAAATTCTACCACGATACCTTAGCACAAGATCATCCCTTGCTTACACCAATCGGTAGGAGCAAAATAAAGGGTGAAAAAGCAGCAATTTATTTTACAAAAACTCTGGAAGATGAGCAAATAAGGCCTTTTGAGCTAATAATTCTAAATCCTTCTTTAGTCATCGGTGCCCCTCTTCTTCCTGAGATTAAAGGACTAGGAGTATTCATCTTGAAATAATGTAATGGAGCCAGGAGTCCCAAGGATGCATGGACAAATTCTAAATTTAGTCCATGTAAAGGACGTTGCTCAAGCTCATTTGAATGCCCTTGAGAGAGGTGATAATTTCGAGAGATATCCTCTCTGAGCAGGATCCATTAAGATGAAGAAAGTGATAGCATTGATTAAATAAGGAATTTGAGTCAAGCAAACTTGGAATACCAACAAGAGGATACAGCAAATGGAGATTGTGGTTTCTGAGCATATTTGATAAGAATTATGAGAGATTGTACGAAAGATGGAATATAACATCAGAGCTAGATGGTGAAGAAGCTAAGAAAACATTACATATTAAGAAATACAAGAATATACAGGATAGTATTATAGAGACATGTCAATTCTTGATCAAGAACAATCTTGTTAAGAGGCCTTTTGTCTTACCTCTTCTTAAGCAAAACCAATAAACAAAGCAATATAACTTCAGGAGTTATTATTCTATGTTTGAGATAAAAAAAGGGGTTTTGGGGTTTTGGGGTTTTGGGG